AAAATGAGCGAGGCCTCATGGTGTGTGCCTGTAATCCCAGCCACCCAGGAGACTGAGGTACAAGAATCGCTTGAACCTGGGAGGTGGAGGTTGCAGTGAGCCGAGATCATGCTACTGCTCTCCAGCCTGGGCGACAGAGCAAGACTCTGTCTCAAAATACATACACACACACACACACATAAAAATTTTAGAGATCATAAGTAAGGAGAAGATAATGCTGTCCTCCATCTCCCAAGTATAATGCAAAATAAAAATCAATTCTATACTGTAAATTAAATGTAGGAAAATCCAACAAGTTTCTGATTTTTTCTAAGATTACTATTTTGATGCATTTGTAAGAGCAAATACAAAAAAGACTTTTTCTAATATTATTATCTTTTTAAAGGTATTTTAAGAACTTACAGCAAAAGGTCAAACAATAATAGCATCTATAGCTAGCAAGTTACTGATGCATGACTATATTCCAGGCACTGCGATAACTCCCTTACATAGATTATGTCATGGAACCCTCCCAGCAGCCTACAGGAAAGATACTATCATTACTACTAACATTACCATTGTTATTATTCACTTGAAATATTAGAGCTTAGATTAATGAATGTATCCATGGTCACCCAGCTAAAATGTGATTGAGCTGGGATTGACTGACTGGGCACTGACTGATGATGGGGTCTGAAGTCCTCGCCTTAACATCACACTGCCACAAAGTCTTAGAATATGCCAAAGTAGGCTGTGCATGGTGGTTCACGCCCTGTACTCCCAGCACTTTGGGAGGCTGAGGCGGGTAGATCACGAGGTCAGGAGTTCAAGACCAGCCTGTCCAATACAGTGAAACTCTGTCTCTACTAAAAATACAAAAATGAGCTGGGCTTTGTGGTGCGTGCCCATAATCCCAGCTACTCGGGAGGCTGAGGCAGAAGAATCGCTTGAACCTGGGAGGCGGAGGTTGCAGTGAGCTGATATTGTGCCGCTGCACTCCAGCCTGGGTGACAGAGCAAGACTCTGTCTCAGGAAGAAAGAGAGAGAGAGAGAGAAAGAGAGAGAGAGAGAAAGAAAGAGAGAAAGAAAGAAAAAGAAAGAAAAAGAGAGAAAGGAAAGAAAAGAAAGAAAAAGAAGGAAGGAGGGAAGAAAGAAAGAGAAAAGAAAGAAGAAAGAAAGAGAAAGGAAGGAAGGGGGAAGAAAGAAGGAAGAAAAAAAGGAAGGAAGGAAGGGAATATGCCAAAGTAGATGCGTTGGCAAGGCTCTTTGTTCTTTGCAGTGCTCCTTAATCCCCAGATTTGTTCATTTATTCAGTTAGTATTAATCAGGTACCTATATGTGCCCACAATGTGGTAGGCATTGAAGATACAGAGTGAATGTTACAGAAGTGATCCATACTCATGGAGTTATTGATACGAGGAAGTGCCAGTGGAGTTTGGGAATTTGGGAAACCCTCTCTGAAGAAATGAGGATTATAGTGAGATCTGAAGGATGAGCTGAATGACCTAAGTGAGCTGGAGAGGAGAGTTTCATACAAGCTAAATAACAAGGTGAGGTGATATACAGATGCAAAGCTCAGATCCCCTTTTAAGGAAGGACTTGATAACCCTGGAGCTAGCAGTGCCAGCCCCTTCAGGCATTGCCTCAGCTGCAGGGAGCCGCGTCACCCAAGCTCACACCCTTCCACCATTTGTGTGCCACCTGTGGTGAGCCACTTCAGCTTCAGAGCAATGTGTCTTGTTGGCTGAGGCTGTCAGGCTTGCATCTCAGCTTGATTTCTCCCTCTTCCCAATTCTGCTTCCGCCTCCTCCCTTCCCTGGGTGTTGACTCAAGAGCACTCTCTAATAAACATCCTGAACTCTAAACTCTACCTCAGAGTGTGCTTCCTGGAGAATGCAACGTGCGTTACAGCATGGAAAGCCTTGATGAGTAAGATGCTAAGAAGCATCCAGAATGGCTGTGGATTGTGTGGGAAATAGTGAGATGAGCCCAGGCCAAAAAGGAAGACATGGGTCAAATATGAAGTACCTGGTAAACCATGTTGAGGATTTTCCTAAAAACAGTGGCCAGTAGAAAGCCACTGTTGATTTTTAAACTGACAGAATTTTAAAATGACAGAATCAGATTTGCAGTTGTGAAATATCACTTTGGGCCCAGTACAGTGGCTCACACTTGTAGTCTCAGCAGTTTGGGAGGCTGAGGCAAGCAGATTGCTTGAGCTCAGGAGTTCAAATCCAGCCTGGGCAACATGGCAAAACCCCTCTCCAAAAAAAATCTAAAAATTAGCTGGGTGATAGCACGCACCTGTAGTCCCAACTACTCAGGACGCTGAGGTGGGAGAATCAGTTGAACCGTGGAAGGTCGAGGTTGCAGTAAGCTGTGTTTGTGCCAGTGTACTTTAGCTTGGACAACATAGCAAGGCCTTGCCTCAAAAAGAAAGAAGGGAGGATGAAAGAGAGAGAGAGAGACAAAGAAAGAAAGAAGGAAAGAGGGAGGGAGGAAGGGAGGGAGAGAAAGAGAGGGAATTATAGTGGATTATGGAGGGAATTATAGAGGGAAAGAAGGGAAGGGGAAGGAAAGGAAGGAGAAGGAAGAAGAAATATCACTTTGGGTGCAGTGCAGGGGTTCTTTCAAAAATCATTTTCCTTCTTCTAGATATTAATGGTAAACAAAAAATACCAAACTGTCTTTCCTGTCTGTGAATCATTGCTTTTCATTCCCTTTCACCTTATCAATAAAAGCTACTAAACCTGCTCCAATGTTTATGCAGCACAGTCATGTAAGGTAGCATCTAGCAGTAGCTTCTTGAGAGACCGTTGGAAATAGTGTTATGTGCGAACTTGGCAAGTTCTCTCTTCTATGGTGATGAAAGCAAAACTGTTCTGTGTTGCTGGAAAAGCTTAAGGTGATAAGTCACTAAAGACATACAACATCAAAAGGAAGACTTCCTGCCTATCATATGTTTATTCTTCACCTTAATTCCCAGATGTCTTTAACATATAGTAATTATATTAGCACAGTTCATTTGGACAGAAATAATTCGACAGTCAAGGTTAGATTTTTTAAAGCTTCGTTGCAGTGCAATTGACATACTATAACTGCATATATGTAAAGTGTACAGTATATAATGTACACCCATTTGTGAACTCATCATTAACAGTCAAGATAACAAATGTTTCCAGCACCCCAAAAGTTTAATTGTCTCTTTTTGTCATCTCTGTCCTTTCTTTTCTCTCTCTCTCTCTCTCTTGCTGCCTTCCTTTCCTTCTCCCCCTGGCAACCACCGATGTACTTTCTCTCACTATAATTACTTTACATTGTCTTTAATTTTATATAAGTGTAATCAGGCAACATCCATTCCTTTTTGCCTGACTTCCTCCACTCAGCATAATTACTTTGAAAATTAGATGTAAAATGTTTAACTAAATTATATTCTATATAAGTCATCAGACTTGTTACACATAAAAAAATTTGTATTTATTGACACAACATTTTATGCATTGTAAGTACCACTAGTAGAAGTGATGCTCAGCTTTTTAAGTATAGTTATTCACTGTGTCTCAGATTGAAAATTTTGATCTAGCAATCAAAGCAATTTTCCTTTGAACTTATAAACCAAAACACATGATCTGTGACGTTCCCTAGGAAGCCTATATTTGAGGAAACACAAATAAGGCATTTTATAAAAGACTCTCCTCTTGCAGAAAAATGTGGCCAAATAACCTAGAAAACTGGCAGCTGAAGAGCAGCTGTTATGAGGTATGGAAGCTAGAGGGCACAGGGTGATCTACTATATTTCTTTAAGATAATCAAACTGGAGGCTGCTCCTTCAACACAAATACACATATGCACCCACACAAATAACCACATGCATATATAAACAATACTACCCATTTTTCTTTCATAAATTGCTTTTAGCTCAGCTTAGTTCACCAATTGTTTTATATTACCATTTAAATTTTCTTATATCTCTAAAAAGAATAAAAACTAAAGATAGTTTTAAAAATATCATTATATCCAAACCTTGACTCTATTTGATTCTACCTGTCAAATGCAAAACTTAGAATAGGTCATGAAATAACCTCTTTTAACTTTTTAAAAATATTTTTTTCACATACATTACCAAGATCTATACTTAGGCACTCAGTGTATGTTTCTCAAATGAATGAAACAAAGCTTTCTGCTCTGTGAGGCTGCTTTTTCTCTGATAGTGTGTCTCCTTACTTTGGTATACCTGAAAAGCCAATGTTATCACTTCCTTCAAGAAAGCATACTCTTCATCTGATGGAAATGTTTGTAAAGTTCATTAATATGTTTTTATTTTTTAATGTGTGTGCCTTTATGTTTTAATCTTTTATTTTATTCCGTCTTTTTATATTGGTTTGGAGAAAGCATGAGTGACTATTTTCTACTTCTTAGATTCTGGCTTACTATTTTGCACATTAACTAACACAACCTAGGAAAGGATGCCTCTACAGTCCCATAGGACCTAGTACCATATACTTTGTAAGTTCAGAGTGAATTAAACCTGATGCATATTATTTGCCAGTTAGGGATAATGTAATCTTTAAATTTTACATTGCACCTTCACTAACCAGAAACCATGGTTTTCTTTGATATGTAGTAACTCCATCCAATACATCACAAGAATGGAATCTTGTTATCTTGTGCTGGCTGGGAATTTTATGGCAGCAGGGAGGTTTGTATGGGTTATAGCTCAAGTTTTCTTATACTTGTCAAATGTTTTGTCTAGTTTTCATACTTCTGACTATGTTTTTAAAGATACTTTTTGTATATTTTAACTTGGATCTGATAATTTTTCAAAGAATTTTTTAAAATATAATTCTTCAGCTCAGTAACCAGACAACCCCATTTATGTTTTACCTCTGAGTGTATGCACCTACCTAAATTTGCATCTATTTGAAAAATACTCTAAGATCCTTTGAAATTCTAGTGTGAAAAATAGTAATAGTAACATGAACTTTTGGTTTCTAGATAAATATGTATATCATTTGACTTACCTAAACAGAATGTGAACAGTACTGATTTTCTTCCAGAGGCTTTAACACTAATTTTATTTTTGAACAAAGAAATTAAAAGAAAGAAAATTGAAAAAATTCATCTTGGGATTTCCTCTTGTATTTTCCTCATAGTTTGTAGCTAAGAAATAATAAAATTTAGTTGTAAGAAATGGTAACAACAGAGTATAATCTTTAAATATCAGTTAAACCAATGTAACTACATGACTCATGTCAGTTTAAAAAAGTATATCTCAAAAGGAATCCTGTCTGATTCTTTCTTTCTCTCCTTTCTCTCTCTCTTCTTTCTTATATGGTTTGGCTTCTTTGTGTTCCTCACACAAATCTCATCTTGAATTGCAACCCCAGTGTTGAGGGGGAGACCTGGTGGGAAGTGATTGGATTATGGGGGTTGTATCCCCCATGCTGTTCTTGTGATATGAGTACATTCTTACAAGATCTGATGGTCTTATATATAGTAGTTTTTCCTGTGCTCACACACCATCTCTCTCACCTGCCACCACGTAAGATATGCCTGCTTCTCCTTCCGCCATGATTGTAAATTTCCTGAGGCCTCCCAAGCCACATGGAACTGTGAGTCAATTAAACCTCCTTTCTTTATAAATTACCCAGTATCAGGCAGTTCATTATAGCAATGTGAGAACAGACTCTTTCTTTCTTTCTTTTTCTTTCTTTTCCTTTCTTTTCTCTTTCCTTTCTTTCTTTCTTTCTTTTTGTTTCTTTCTTTCTTTCTCTCTTTTCTTTCTTCCTTTCTTTCTTTTCTTTTCTTTCTTCCTTTCTTTCTTTTTCTTTCTCTCCCTCCCTCTCCCTCCCTCCCTCCTTCCTTCCTCTTTCTTTCTTTCCTTTTCTATTTTTCTTTCCTTCTCTTCCTTCCTTCCTTTTTTTCTTTCTTCCTTTTCTTTTCTTTCTTTCTTTTCCTCTTTCTTTCTTCTTGGTGAAGGTCTTCCTTTGTACCCAGGCTGGAAGTGCAGTGATGCAATCATAGCTCACTGCAATTTTGAACTCCTGGCCTCAAGAGAGCCTCCCACCTCAGCCTCCTGAGTAGCTGGGACTACAGGCACATGCCACTGCACCCACCGAGTTTTTTGGTTGTGGTGGTGGTGGTTGTTGTTGTTGTTGTTGAGATCAGGTCTTGCTATGTTGCCAAGGCTGGTCTCCAACTCCGGGCCTCAGGTGATCTTCCTGCCTTGGCCTCACATGGTGAGTGCTGGGATTACATGTATGAGCCACCACACCCAGCTCTGACTTTTTTATTCATACCAACCACTGCAAAAGTCCTAAGCCAAATTGTTGGCTTTTATCATTCCACCACACTATACAGATGGGCTACAGAAGAGCACCAGCACCCTTTCAGGGTTGTCCCCTAAGTCTACATGCCCAGCTCTTTAGTTCTCCCATTGAATCCTTTTTCATTGCACCATATGCCTTATTATTGATTTGAATAATAAATAAAATGTTGATATTTCTACTGCTAAGTCAGTACTGTGTCCATAAACTGAATTTCCCAGCTTTGCTTGGAACATGGTGCTCACTAGAGGAATGGAAATTCAGTTTAAAACAATAAATAGGGAAAGCAGAAAGAGTAAACAAGATGTGGAAGGGTGAGGCTTACTCTGATGAGTGACTAAGTAGGCAGCTTCCTGTGAGCCCTATAAAGAATGATTTTTTTTTTTTAATGTTCTGCCCTATTAGTTCTTAGCTGGAAAGCAGATCAACTTGAAAAGATGCTGGAAGTTAGGTAAAACACAGATATATAGGGTTTAATTTTTAAATGTAAAAGAGACTATGTTATTCAAATAGTCACGATCTCTAAAATGGTTCATCTTCTTGTTTTGTTTTTTGGGGTTTTTTTGAGAAAGAGTCTCACCTCTGTTACCCAGGCCAGAGTACAGTGGCATGATCTTGGCTCACTGCAACCTCCACCCCCTGGGTTCATGCAGTTCTCCTGTCTCGGCCTCCAGAGCAGCTAGGTCTACAGGCACCCACCACCACTCCTGGCTAATTTTTGTATTTTTAGTAAAGATGGGGTTTCACTATATTGGTCATGCTGGCAAAATGGGTCATCTTCTGTTACATTTTATTTTATTTTTTATTGTTTCTTTTTCAGTATTCAAAACAATTCTGTTACATTTTAATAAGCAACTGATATTCATATTCATATAGATTCCTAATCTAGAAATTCAATCCTTCAGCTAGATCCTTTATGCATTGTGTAAAATATAAATTAATTTCCTTCATTAAGTGTCATGTAAATTTATAACACAATAACACCTGTTACAATTTTTAAATATTATCTAATGGGCTTTAAATGCTCAGCACCACTGAGAAACTTGCTGTTGCCCTGTGTCTATCAGTGTTTTTGCTCTAAGTTAAATGTACATTCTACAACAACAAACCGCAGTTTTTTTTCTTTTCTGAGACAGGGTCTTGTTCTGTTGCCCAGGCTGGAGTTCAGTGACAGTAAGCATAGTTCGCTGCAGCCTCAACCTTGGGGCTCAAGTGATCCTCCTGCCTCAGCCTTCCAAGTAGCTGGGACTACAGGTGTGCACCACACCAAGCTAATTTTTTTTTTTGTTTTTTGTAGAGATGAGGTCTCATTATGTTGCCCGAGCTGGTCTTGAACTCCTGGACTCAAGCAATCCTCTTGACTCAGTCTCCCAAAGTGCTGGGATTTCTGGTATGAGCCACCACGCCCAGCCACAAACCACATTTTACTCTTTTCTTTTTATTTACATTCCCCAACTCAGTGCTATGTGCAGAACTGATGCTTAATAAATACTTGATTGATTGAGATGTGAATGTGTGAGATGTCTATAGAAGTAGCCATGGTTAGAAGTTCATGCTCAAAGAAAAGAGCATGGAAAATTTGAATGAATCCTTGCTCAGGAACATACAAGCAGTGTGACCCCGAGGAAGTTACTTAACTTCTCTGAGCTTCAGTCTTCTTAATAAAATGAGATATCATCTCACACCAGTTAGAATGGTGATCATTAAAAACTCAGGAAATGATAGATGCTGGAGAGGATGTGGAGGAATAGGAACACTTTTACACTGTTGGTAGGAGTGTAAATTAGTTCAACCATTGTGGAAGACAGTGTGGTGATTCCTCAAGGATATAGAACCAAAAATACCATTTGACTCAGCAACCCCATTACTGGGTATATACCCAAAGGATTATAAATCATTCCACTATAAAGACACGTGCACACATGTCTATTGCATGTTTATTGCAGCACTGTTCACAATAGCAAAGACTTGAAATCAACCTAAATGCCCATAAGTGATAGACTGGATAAAGAAAATGTGGCATATATACACCATGGAACACTATGCAGCCATAAAAATGATGAGTTCGTGTCTTTTGCAGGGACATGGATGAAGCTGGAAACCGTCATTCTCAGCAAACTAACATAGGAACAGAAAACCAAACACCACATGTTCTCACTCATAAGTGGGAGTTGAACAATGAGAATACGTGGACACAGGGAGGGGAACATCACACACTGGGGCCTGTCGGGGCATGGGGGGCTAGGGGAGGGATAGCATTAAGACAAATACCTAATGTAGATGACGTGTTGATGGGTGCAGAAAACCACCATGGCACATGTACACCTATGTAACAAACCTGCGCGTTCTACACACATATCCCAGAACTTAAAATGTAATTTCAAAAATACAAAAATGAAGATAATAATAATTGCCTTAGCATTATTGCAAAGATTAGACATAAATGATTTAAAGTGGCCAGCATGGGGCTGGTTCACAGCCCTAAATTCATGATGCTACTTCCACGTGGCAGATGAGGAGGACAGGGATTGTTATTGAAGTCATTCATACATGATCACATATCCATTAAATGCCAGAGCCAGAGTTCAACAGCAGCTTTATCAGACTCTCAATCCAGTGTGTAACATTTCCTATATTGTGATCACATCTTGGAAAGGTCATGTCCAGGGTAGATAACGAATAAGAGGGGCACTAAAATGAAGGCAGCTAACAAATGAGGATACTGCCTTTCACACTTTATGATCATGACTCACAGCATTACATTGTAAATCCTGAATACATGCAACTATACAAAACAGCTGAAGCTTAAAGCACATGTTGTAGTCAGATACCTATTTCCTATGGTATTTCATATTTTAAAAATTCTGAAGCAGGCTGGATGGTGAGGGCCCAGGGAGGTGTTGAGATGCATTGGTCATTTAACAACCTCAGCCACAGGTCACCAGGCAGAGCTCTCTGTAATCTCTGCAGCCTCTGTCTCCTCGTCTGGTTGCAGTCTTTGCCCTGGTGGCTTCACTCAGTTGCAGGGAGCTGAGGGACCGGTCCTTGCATGGCCATAGGATGCACAGGCCACGTAGGTCAAGAGACAGGAAGACAGGGCCCTGGCTGCCGGAAGTAGGTGCCTTTCATGTGGGTACCTATTTGCCTGGCCCTTCATGAAACTGAGATAAATGGAAGAGCAGAGCCACAGAGGAGGTAACTCAGGCAAATGGTCAGAATAGCGCAGGCACGAGAGTCATATTAAAGGGCCAGACAGACGAGGAAGATGAAGTTTGGCTGTCTCTTTCTCCTGAAGCCTACTTTGGTTTTGTCTTAAGCCAAGTCGAGACTTTACAGGCTCCTTGTCATTCTTCACTAGTGAGTCACAGAAACTGTCATGAGAATGCTGTACACATTGCTGCTCACAAGGACTAGGAAGATGGACCTGGGGAGAGCTGCTGATGGAGAGGCTTGGAACAGCTCCAGTTCAAATTTGGAAGTGGTTTTGGGGAGCTGAAAAATTAGGGGTGGGGAGTAATTACTGGGCTCGTTGGCACTGAGGAAATTTCAGTGTCCAGAGAACTTAACTCCTGATAAAATCATGGAACTGAGAAATAAAACTGTATGACCAGTCCTAAACAAGAATACCGTATTGGCCCTATTGCAATTTCACATCCAAGGTGGATATATTGCTAGAGCCAGTATGTTGAAAAGAAGAAAAGATATAGTCCAAGTAGACATCTCAGGGGAGCTAACATCTTTGGGGCAGGAGACATGAGGAGTATGGACAACCTCGAGCAGTACTACAGAGAAACAAACTCTAAAATGTCTCTCACAATCAAGATGTGAATATAGTAAATAGTATTAAAATTAAATGGCCACTGCATTTGATAATGCTATTCACTAAGTGATACAAAAAACAATTATTTGCTTAGGTTAAAAGTGTATGGAGGTGGGGCAGTCTTCTTAGTCAGATAGGTCTTTATATTCATTGGAAATATCTTGAGTATTTTGACCTTTACAATAAAGGGGAAGCTGCCAGTAACTTCTCATTTTGATCCTGCTAATTTCTGGGTTACACATGTAAATTTAAAAAAATTTTTAAAAGCTTGTTTCATGACGTCTGTTCAGTGACAGAAAGAAACAGAAACAAAAGGCTTGTTATGGTTTACTAAATTGATTTGACTCCTCACTAATGGATCATAACCCATTTTGAAAAACTCTAGGCTGGGAGCGGTGGTTCACACCTGTAATTCCAGCACTTTGGGAGGCTGAGGTGGGAGGATCATGAGGTCAGGAAATTGAGACCATCCTGGCCAACATGGCCCGTCTCTACTAAAATACAAAACATTAGCTGGGCATGGTGGTGCGCACCTGTAGTCCCAGCTACTTGGGAGGCTGATGCAGGGGAATCACTTGAACCCGGGAGGTGAAGGTTGCAGTGAGCCGAGATCACGCCACACTGCACTCCAGTCCGGTGACAGAGCAAGCCTCCATCTAAAAAACAAGAGAAAGAAAAACTCTTAATTGGGAGATTGTTCTAGCAATCCATGTAAGAGACATTGGTAGCAGAACTAAAGTAGTGGCAGTGGAAATGGGAGAAATAGATGTGACAATTTTTTGAGAAGTAGAATCAACATGTCCTTATGATTGTTCGAAGGGAACAGACACATGAGAAGGTTTCAAGCTGGGATAACCGGTTACCATTCTACAGATAGGGAGCACTGGAGGAACAGCAGTTCCGATGGAGAATGGATTCTATTTGTGATGCCTGGGGCCATCCAGATGAAGATGTCTTGTAAGCAGTTAAAGGTGTGAGTTGGAGAAAACGAGAGGTGTCTGGGTTGGAGATGCAGAGTCATCAGTATGCAGGTGGTATTGAAGTCATGGCAGTGGATGAGGCTACCTGGAGGACCAGTGGGGAAGCTGAGGCGAGGGTAGCTGGGGATTCACTGCAGGAAAGGCAGAGGGAGAAGGGGAAGAGAGGAGTGACAGACAGACTCCAGAAAGGTAGAAGGTAGAAGGGAAGAGCCTTTGAAAAATGCTTTTAGTTATGTGTTCTCATGATACCGTGCACTGTTGATAGCACTGAATCATGGTAGAGCATGGATGGAAGAAGGTGAGCAGCAAGGCAGCATACCAAAGAGTGCTGGCACTGCAGTAGGAGGCAGTCCCCAGTCAACCTTCACCTCTGCAGGTGGGTTTCTTCCCTACGATATGAGAGCTTTGGTTAAATGATCTCTGTGGTGTTTAATTTGAAGCAGAGGGTAGATGGGTGGAGAATATGGGAAGATATGAAAACTAACCCATTCACTCCTTTATTCAACAAATATGAGTTCCTATGATGTTTACATACTGTCTTAGTCACGAGGACATAATGATGAACCAGGCCGACTGTAAAACCTGACATGGCAGTGAGAGACACAGACCATAAAAAACTAAACAATTTAAATAGGGTGTATTTTCAGGTACTGATAAGAATGCTGAAGAAAAATAAAGTGGGCAGTAGGGTAATCTGGGCAGACTTCTCTCTGTATCTGTGTGAGCACATGTTATAGTAATCCACGTAAGAGATGTTGGTAGCAGAACTAAAGTAGCAGCAGGGAAGGCTACTGCCCTACTGTGTGAGGACCAAACGAAGTGAGGGTGCATTAATGCCAGGGGCTTACTGAAGAAACTTCCTGGAGAGGGGACCCCTGTCAAGGCCTGCAGCAGGAATGACTAGGCATATCTGAGAAACAGTAGAAAGGGCAAGGTTAAGTAAAGGCAATGCAAAGGGAGAGCTACAGATGATGACTTAGAATCTAAACCAGACTAGCTTGGGCCTTTTTGGCCACAGATTTCCTTTGCATCTAGGAAGCTATTGGAGGGTTTTGAGCAGGTGAATGGCTTAATGATTTCTGTTTTTCAAAGTTCATTTTGGTAGTTGTGTGGACCCTAGATGGCAAAAATAAAAGCAGGGAAACATGGTAGAGATCAATGATTTTAGTATGCCCAGTAAGAGAAAATGAGGGTGGGATTAAAATGGCAGATTGAGAGCTAGTACCAACTAGCTTTAATGGAGCACCTACTATATCCAGTACTTAATTCTAAGTACTTTATATGTGTTAACATTATTTCTACAAACAACCCTGTGAAGTAGGTGCTGTCATTATCTCCATTTTACATATGAAGAAAATGAAGCAGAGAGGTGAAGTCACTTGGCCAGGACTACACAGCTAGTAAGTTTAGAACCAGAATTCAAACCTAGTCAATCTGCCTCCAGAGCTTGCCTGCTTAATCTCTGATCTAGACAGAAATCAGCACAGAATTTGAAGATACAGCTGACAGATCTTGATGGATTTAATGTTGAGTATGAAGGAGAGGACAAAAATCAAGGAAGATGCCCAGGACTTTGTGATGAGCAACGGTGTGATATTTATTAAGATGAAGAACACTAAACAGGAGAGCAGGAATAAAAAATTCTGCTTTGGCTTGACACAGAGTCTTAGACCTGTGATCCCAACTCTTTGGGAGGCTGGGGCAGAAGGATTGGCTCAGGAGTTCAAGAACAGCCTGACCAACATAGTGAGACCTTGTCTGTACTGAAAATTTGAAAAGTTAGTCAAGCATGGTGACCCATGCCTGTAGCCTCAGATACTTGGAAGAATGAAGTGGGAGGATTGTTTGTGCCCAGTAGACGGAGGCTGCAGTGAGTTACAATCACACGACTGCACTTTAGCCTGGGCAATAGAACAAGGCCCTGTCTCAAAAAAAAAAAAAAAAAAAAAGAAAAGAAAAGAAAAGAAAAGAAAAAAAGAAATTCTTCTTAGTACGTACTGAGTTCAAGCCGTCACATTGACATAGACGGGTAGAGGCATTTAGGAGGCACTCCAAGACCTTTCTTATTTGACAACAGACAGCTCTGTTTGTTTAAATATAAAGAAGAAACAATATAGCATTATGTTAGTAAAGTATGCTGCTGAAATCTACCTTTATCAGCCTCTCCCGAGATTTTTAGTAAAATGAAGTTCCCATTTGGAGAATTGAGCGGAATGATTTGCTAATATAACCACAGCAAAATACCCAAGCCAGCCAAGTTCTCACTTTTATCAGCAACCAGTCAGTGAGCAAAGGTTTTTAATAAAAAGCTCCCAGAAATCTCATTACCTCAGACCTCAGACAGGCGCACCACATACCTGCAACCATTAACTTTCACGGAAGGCAACTTCTCCCAGGTAGAGAATGAAAGTTGCCGTTGATATTGCCACTCTAGTGCCCCTGTCTCCACTGCTGCTTGAACCACTGCTTAGGTCACTGGACCTTGCCTGCATGACACACAAGATTGCACAATCCCAAACCTGCTCTGACTTTCAAAACACTGCCCCTTGTCCCCACCACCCCCTACTTCAGTATTTGACTTTTTACTTCATCTGACCTCAGGTGATTCAACCTCTTTAGGCAGGCTCAAACTTAAGATTCACTCACCTAGTCTTGCCTGAACAAACTTGCCTTCTACTACCTGTGCTGAACCTGATGTCTTGGAGCACTTTGTATGAGACCCCGTGCTGGGAACGCTCTCTACAGTGACTACGTGGTGGTCACACAGGTGTAGACATTTTTAGCACTCATCAAACTAGACATGTAGGTAGCTCAACTTAAAAATACCTCAGTTTTTAAAAATGATATTATGCTAGGTGCTTTTCAAATAATTTTTTCCCCTCAAGAAGCTTACAGTCTGAAGAAGGCATGATATAGAACAATAGCAGGCAATATCTAAGTGCCAAGCAAATAACCCCGAAACAAAGGCTGTGGTAATTGGATTGTAAAGGAAGACTTCACGGAGAACATGATACTGATTTAAACATTAGAATATAGTAGACTGAAAAGCAAAAAGAGAGAGAAGCAATTATTTTGCTACATTAAATATGGTTGTGCGCTCCTCTCTTGCAATATTCTTTTCCTTGGCTCCATCAGTGACATGACCCTCATTATCCTCTTGCTTCTCTGGGTGATCTCTCACTAGGCAAGGGAAATGGCACAAGGCAAGGTGTAAGCATGAGAATCAAAAGAAATCTTAGGAGACAGTTAGTAAAACAGCCGGGGTTTGTTTTCAGAAACTGGAAATTAACATTGGGAGAGATCCATTTATTCAGGATCTTCATGCCAGGATAAGAAATTTAGAAAGTATGGTTTGGGTAGCACAATATTGTAAGGAGGTATCAAAGTGGTTGAGCAGAAGAATGTTCTCTGCCTTTTAAAGGAAATTGATCCCCTCCTATATTCCACTGAAGAATCACTGGTTGATGTGGCTCAGCTGGAGACAAGCCTTCTGCATATTCTCTAACAAAGTCTTTGGGAACAGGAGCCAAAGAGAAATGTCCCATCTCTGGGTATTTAGCTTTTCATGCAGACTTGGCCTTGTTTCCATTTCACTCCAGACCCTTTTCTGTCTTTACTCTGAGCTCTATTTCAGATGTAATTTTACATTTTATTTATTTATTTATTTATTTTTGAGACAGTCTTGCTCTGTCACCCAGGCTGGAGAGCAGTGGTGCAGTCATGACTCGCTGTAGTCTCGACATGCCAGGCTCAAGTGATCCTCTCACCTCAGCCCCCGCCAGTAGCTGGAACCACAGACACCCACCACCACGCCTGCCTACCTTTTTTTATATTTTGTAGAGATGGGGTTTCACTGTGTTGCCCAGGCTGGTCTCAAACTCCTGAACTCAAGCCATCCACCCACTTCAGCCTCCCAGAGTGCTGGGATTACAGGCATGTGCTACCATACCCAGCCTACATTTTCTTCTTGACTTTAACCAGTCTTTAAAATGTATAGGGACCTGTGTTAAGTGCCCTGAAGGCTCACCTACTATTCTAACCGTTTTTTCTAAAGAATTCTGGTGACAGAGAAGGAGTCAACCTCTTTAGTCCTTATTCTCTTTAATTATCTTGCTACATTAAATATTGTTGAGCTCTCCTTTTTTGCAGTATCCTTTTCCTTGGATTTATCCACGGTGGGATTCTCGTTATTCTCTTTCTTATCTATGTGATCTCTGTCTCTTACCAGTTTTTCCAGTCTTCCAGCATTTCAAAGTAAACAGTTCCTCAAGACTCCATCATTACCCTTCTCTTCCACATTTTCTAAGACGCGATCTTATCCACAACTACATTTTCAACTACCTTCTCAGTTCAGATGATTCTAAAGATGTATCATCAAATGATTGGTATTTGTTTTTGCCCGGATGCCTGTGCAGCAACTCAATCTCAATATGTCCTAAAACAAGCCATTTTCTTTTCTAAGGTATCCCTTCCTGGTAGCTTTCCTGTTTGCAGAAGACGACATCATTCTAAAAATTTACTCCTGAAAACCTTAACATACGTAGACTAAATCCTTTTTCTCTACATTTCTTTTCAACCTTTCAACTTTTTTTTAGCCAATAACATTCTATCCTATTTCTTGCACACTAATTCTCATCTATACTCTTTTCCATTTTCCCTCCTACCCATTAGATCAAGCCTTCATTCCCTCTTGCATTGACCATTTAAAATCATTCAAGAAAGTTCACTTGAGTGTGTCCTATATACTGCTGCCAAAATATTCTCCTTAAGGCCCTGCGGCCAGGCACTTTGGCTCAGGCCTGTAATCCCAGCACTTTGGGAGGCTGAGGCAGGTAGATCACCTGAGATCAGGAGTTCAAGATCAACCTGGCCAACATGGTGAAACCCCATCTTTACTAAAAATACAAAAAATTAGCCAAGCATGGTGGCACATGCCTGTAGTCCCAACTAATCAGGAGGTTGAGGGAGGAGAATCACTTGAACCTGGGAGGAGGAGGTTGCAATGAGCTGAGATGGTACCACCACACTGCAGCATGGGCAACAGAGCTAATTCCGTTCGAAAAAAAAAAAAAAAAAAGGACACTGTGTCACTCCTCTGCTCGGAATCCTTCAGTGACTCCCATTCTCTTAAAGCAATAAAGACAAAACACCTCACCCCAGCATCCAAAGCTCTTGGTACACTAAATCCAATCTACCTTTCTAAATTTATATGGTACCATTCTCTTTCCAGTATCATGTGATCCATACAAACAACTACTCAAGGTTTCCTAAACGTTTCCTGCACTCTCTTACCCCCATGTTTCTGCTTACACTGTCTGTCATGATTACCCGCTCCAATAGAACCTCCCCGCCACCCCACCATCCAAGAAAGTCCAGCTCAAATTCAAGTTGCGTCAGTCAGGAATGAGGGAAACAGGGCTTTGCAAGAAACTGAGTAGCTCTACATGTACTTTTCCTACTCTATCATATCTAGTGCAGTGACCATTGCAGAACACGTTTTCAATCAGTGAACGTGGAAATGTTATCCGAATGTAAAAATACCCACCTTAATATCTCCAATGCAGTGCTAACATTTCTTTTTATATAAATTTCTTACTTTTTAAAAATTATATTTTGGTTGGGCATGGTGGCTCATGCCGGCAATCCCAGTACCTTGGGAGGGAGGTCAAGGTGAGAGGGTCGCTTGAGGCCAGGAGTTCAAGATCCGCCTGGCCAACATAGTGAGACCTTGTCTCAAATTTTTTTTTCTAATTAAAAAACATTTATGTGTAATTCATTAATATGGTTCATCATGAAAAAGAAATCAAATATTTAATAAAAAGCTGAAGGCTGTTGACCATCTCCAATCTAGTTCTCTACAAAGAGGGTCACAGGCAATTGTGCCATGTATGTCTTCCAGATCCATCCCTGAGCGCTTGCGTACCTATACAGATAAGTAGCTGTGTACCTATACAAATAAGTAGTTGCATTGTAAATGATGAATTAATACATATTTAGTTATAAGAATGCTGAATTCTAAGTTTAAAATCAATGTACACACGGATATGAAATACTCATAAGCAGTGTCATTATAATAACCATTTTGAGTATATAGATATTCTTAATAATAATGTTGTATTTTTGAGCATTTATTCTACCAGGGACTCTTCTAAGTGCTTTAGGTAAGTTATTTAATTCTTACAACTTGTGACTGCCATTATGATCCTCTTCCTAGAGATAAGGAACTAGACCCCTATCAGAGTTTGGTAACATACCTGGGGGCACACTTTCCAGCTAATAAGTAGAAGAGCTGGGATGCTGACCCAGGAGTTTGGCTCCAGAGCTGGTATTCTTCATGCTTCATGCTGCTGTTCACGGAGACAGGAAACTGTTGACTGCGACTTTTTCTGCTCTGTCCTACAGTTTCTCCTCCATCGTGGTGAGCTCCATCCCTGGGTACATTGCTGTCCATGTGCTCACATATTTCTAATGACTGCCTGGTAGTAGCTCTGATCTGGACTATTCAGCTAAATTGACAGGGAGAGGAGACTAAAATTAAATAGCTACTTGATTATATTCATTCAACCCAGTAATGTAAGCTCTGAATAGCCTTTAAAAAGTCAAATCCCTGAATAGACAACTAACAAGTTCTGAAATTGAAGGCAGTAATTAATAGCCTATCAACCAAAAAAAGCCCAGATGGATTCACAGCCGAAGCCTATCAGAGGTACAAAGAGGATCTGGTACCATTCCTTCTGAAACTATTCCAAACAATAGAAAATGAGGGACTCCTCCTTAACTCATTTGACAAGGCCAGCATTATCCTGATACCAAAACCTGGCAGAGACACAACAAAAAAAGAAAATTTCAAGCCAATATCCCTGATGAACATCAATGCAAAAATCCCCAGTAAAATACTGGAAAACCAAATCCAGCAGCACATCAAAAATCCTATCTACCACAATCAAGTCAGCTTCATCCCTGGGATGCAAGGCTGGTTCAACATACGAAAATCAGTAAACGTAATCCATCACATAAACAGAACCAATGACAAAAACCACATGACTTTCTCAATAGATGTGAAGTCTTTCGATAAAATTCAATACCAGGGCAGTTCTGGCCAGGGTAATCAGGCAAGAGAAAGAAAGACAGGGTATTCAAATAGGAAGAGAGGAAGTCAAATTGTCTCCCTTTCCAGATGACATGATTGTCAATTTAGAAAATCCCATCGTCTCAGACCAAAATCTCCTTAAGCTGATAAGCAACTTCACCCAAGTCTCAGAATACAAAGTCAATGTGCAAAAATCACAAGCATTCCTATACACCAATAACAGAGCCAAATCATGAGTGAACACCCATACACAATTGCTACCAAGAGAATCAAGTACCTAGGAATACAACTAACAAGGGATGTGAAGAACCTCTTCAAGGAGAACTACAAACCACTGCTCAAGGAAATAAGAGAGGACACAAGCAAATGGAAAAACATTCCATGCTCATGAATAGGAAGAATCAATATCATGAAAATGGCCATACTGCCCAAAGTAATTTAT